AAACCGAAAAATTTGGTTGTTATATTATTTTGGTAAATGAATTTGAGACTTTTTAACTACCGCTTAGAAAATCAACTGTGAATTGTGTTCTTGATAATAAAATTTGCAAAATTTATCAAAATAATGATATCATCAGCATGACTGATGACGAAGAATTAATAACGCTTCCATTAATGATTTAGAAGACAATGAAAATTAAAGGTTATAAAATTTCCGCACTACTAATTTATAACTTGTGGGCTTGAATGTATATCCAAGAATTTTTATGATCTAAATTAATTTCTCTTCGTGAATTATCTCAGTAATTATCAGTGTATTAGAGTAGATCAGGAAATAAACATGATGTGAGATTTACACAAATATATTTAGATTAGTTAATTGAAACTAACAGATCCAGATTATTGATAACAAAAATTGCAGCGATGAATCAGTAAAAGAAGGTGATCCATTTTAAAACTTTACATTTGCTTAAACCTTTACATTTACTTCATCATGTACTTACAACAGAACAATTGAGTCGATAACCATTTCGACTGCAGCTACAAATCTGTTTCATTTTGTGGAATTTAAATTTTAACACGCGCTTCCGTTCCCCATTCCGTTATCAAGTGGTCACTTATTTACAATCCCTATATGTAACTGTTAACATTTATCTAAAATTCGACAAATCGGGTCAGTGCAAGGTCCATTCTTTCATAAAATGGCGAAACGGGCCCACAAAAACGATAATAAAAGTTTGAAGCTAATCAATGAAGTCAAACTAAGGCGGCAAGAGCTTTCAAAGCCCAAGCTTAATATGTTAATGAGACAGATTATTACCGAACACGTGTGCTATCCATCTTTTTCTCAATCAAGCCCGAAGATCGTGCTCTCACAGTCCAACCAACGCAGCAAACGCTCAACCGCCGGTTCATAACTCGTATAGTCTTTCGTCTCTACAACTGCATATCGTTCGTCATTTTTACACCTCCCTACAGTCGTCTCCCTTCCTTGCACACCCACCTACCGCCACCTGTCCTTTTCCATATTGGGAACCGATCACATATCGCATTTCTCAAAGAAGCCGACCATTTAACAATTTTACATTATTGGTTTGGTGCCGCAGGTTATAGAGTCAACGGTTAAACGCTTGTGTATCGGTTATAAATCCGCAATAAATTGAAATATTCCCATGGTGCTTTGTGGAAACCAAATGGATCAAGACCCATGGGTGCTCACTTTGGTCGGGTTTTTTCAAAGATGGCGCTAATAAAATTACAGCCAACAAGCCCTGTGGGTGGTTGCATTATTTATCTATTGTATGTTACAAATTGTCGGATTCTATTGAGATGGCATTCAAGATTTACCAAGCGGCGGCTTGCAGAAAGGAAGTCGGTTCTGCCGCAAAGTGTTGTTCAAACGTCAGCCACATGAAATGCTCTGAATACCGGTGAAAGCAGTCAATTGCTTGTAAACACCGCTATTCTTTGGCTATCCACAAGCGAATGCGGAGGGCGCGATGAGGAAACGCCTTTTGAACCTTCGATCATTGATTTATTTTTGTTGCACCAGTATTTGCAAAATAGGGGATTCGAGGTGCTAAGTTTTAAAGTTCTCTACGACTTAAAACTGAATTAATAAGCTCTGTAACTTCAAATCGGCTTATTCCGACTAAAAACGAAATGCGCCGGTCCGTAATGATTGATGACCCTACCTCACTGCTGATATTTAGCAATGAATGGAAAAAGTTTAATCTCAGTCATTCACGAGCGTAGAGTACGAAAACATATGCCTCCTGTTTCCGTCCGTCTGTCTGTCTGTCTCGATTTTTGTTCGACCGTCCGATTGTTGAAATCATACAATGTAAACCCACTCTTAGAACATGTTTGCTAAATTTCTCTGTACATAAATAAGCTCAATTAATTAGAGAATTTGACGCCTTTCAAGCAGTTAACACCTTTAATTAATTTTTCACAAAACTCCCCTGAGAAAAAATCCATTGAAGCAAAGAATTCCAGTGAAAGCCTCAAATAATAATTATCGTAAAGTTAACATTGCAGCGAAAATTTTAAAATCAGCGAATCTTAACACCTTTATAACCGTATATGCCGCATTCTTGGCGATCTTGAGCCTCTTTGATCAAAGGAAATGGTTGACAAGAGGGAACGCCTCCTGGAACACCTTGACTGTGGTAGACCGTTTGTCGACCAAATTAGGCCACCCAGTGCCCTGATTCATTCGTTTTCAGGGGTGATTCCCACCCCTGCTAATGAACGAGGGGACGTAAAGTTGCTATATTATGGTTGAGTTGGGGTTGATGTGATTTATTTGAGAAATGGTCGGCGACTTTGTCACTGTACACGTCCGGATCGAGACCGAAGCAAAAAAAAAACTATTGGAATGGACGGTTGTCGTGTTCGGACTAAATAATGAACGAAATTAATTACAGAAATTAGTATTTCGTCTACATAAACGCGATCGCTGAGTTATTCGAGCAGCTCAAGGGGGGTCGGTAAAGAGTTGCCCCCTGAGGTCGCTGGTTTTATAAGTATAAGCATTTATCATTTAACCACTCTGATGCACTATATATTTCATCTGTCATTCCGTCTTTTTACCCAATAAATTACGCTGCCTACCTTTTCCCATGTGTGAAGTCAACCTATTGAAACTTTTAGAACAGTTATAAATTTGTAACAGTATGGCAGTCACTAAACTATATTGTGTATTGTCTCACAAGGGAACGAATTGTGGAATTAAATAGTAGACTCATTTTTTCTTATCTAGGTTTACGAAAATTGCATTCGTTCATTGTTTCGTTTCGTTACATAAATACTGATATAAATTGATATTGTTTTCACAGAACAAAATCTTCTTTTTAGTAATTTTGAATTATATTGATTGTAAGTATTTTGATACTTGAAGAAGCAAGTTGGCCTTGGATTATTAGAGAGTAAGTGCTCATTCACAATGACCCTATTGCTTAGGACATCCTTATCTTTTATGCCCATTGTGAACGAATACAAGCATAGAGCACTAAACACAAATTTTTATGCATTAATGCTTAGGACATCCTTATGTTTTATGCCCATTGTGAATGAGCACTAACAATAATTTAGGAATATGGTGTTTTATATTCAATTTATGGTCTATGAATTCGCCTTGATTTTATAATTTTTTGCATACCAAAGAAATAATCGAAATAAAACTAAAAATACTATTCGTTTGTCTTGAAACATCTGATGCTTTCTTTTATCAGGTATGTAACTACCACAAGTGTGTATAATATAATAGCGAGCTTCGCTCGCTTTCAGTAGCTCACTGTGCACCCTGTATTTACACCTAAGGCAGCTCGATGTCACGATTTTATTCCCCCATTTTTCTACCATGAAAGACAATCTAATTACAGGTCCAAACCTCCTCACTGTTGTTCAACACAGGCGGTGCGACAAAGATTGTACAATAGTGTTTTAGTATACATAATTCCACTTGCCGAGAACGTTGTACAGGCGGAAATTTATTCGACGTCTTCGACGTGTTTTGACCGCCTTAGTGGAGGAGGCCCCAAGAAAATTGTTGTATCATCTCAAAAACAATTAGAGTCGAGTTAACACCTGATGGAAACAATTAAAAACACCCACTCGATGATATTCCATTTTGGTTCTGTAAAACTTTAATGGAAGCGGAATGTGTGGTGCAGGCACGAGCCGCTCGAAGGATACTAATCCTTATATTATAGTCAAGTAAGTGACAATGGCGACTTGTGTGGGCCAGAATACCTGTCTAATTGACCAGCGGGCGGTCCGCGCGATCTCGTGATTAATATGCCACAGACAAAGATGAATGCCGACTCATTAAGTGGGTGTAAGTGCAACAGTTAGGGCCGTTGTGACTTGGTCTCGCGAACACCTCAGCTGTGAATTTTTTACTTTTCCCGTGCTCAGTCACACGCACCAAGAACTTCGTCGTCCGTCGCGTTAACATTTTTTTTTTAATTGACATAGGATTTGGTGCGACCGACTTTGTGAAGGCATTGGACCGAGTTCTTGCCGTCAGGGCATCAATGAAAGTTTTTACTTTCGTTCGAAAGACGTTACTTAATTTGTTGATTTTAAGTCATCAAAAACTAACACTTTTGATGTACGACGATGACGATATGTGGTGCGAATTGAGTTCATCAAAAATTCTGGATTTCTTGCGGATCAGGTCAAACGTGAACAGCACAGCAAGGGTAAAATGACGGAATTTTACAAGAAAAGAGAAATTATGCTTTTACGCTAGATCGTTGCATCCAGGAGCAAATTTAAATATTGTATTCTAAAAGCTCTGAAAACATAAATTGACTTTGTTGCATCATTTATCATAGTTAATTACTTTATTCAAATACACGCCAAGTGCTGTACAAAAACGTAAGTGTTTTATAACACTGTGATTATCATTTAATGATCTGTAAAAATCCGTGAAATAAAATATATTTGTGTTGTGGTGTTGTGTATGTCATACTTACAGTGTACTAAATTAAGCTATCCTCTTCAAGCTAAAAACAATAACGTCTACGAAATTTTTATATTTCTGTTCGTTTTTCAGAGGTTTTTCTGGGACACGCTGTGTATAAAATATTCAATATGATAGTATTGTCGTACCTACGAAATTTACGTGGTACATTTTATTATACTAGTGGACGTGTGGATTTTTGTTGTTAATTTAATCAAACATTTTCTCATATCTCGCTAGATAAACTTTACCTTTCATGAATGGGGCGGTTAAGACCCGAGGGATGAATATAATTAAACGAAATGGAATTTGAGCTGCCTATTTATTTTTAGTCTTTTTAATTAAGACATAATTCGAGGGATAAATCTCTCCGATTACAGTTAAATCGAGACTATTACTTCCAACACCCTTTGAATGTGCTTCCCAGTGGCTTAAATGTAACATTATCTGCGTAAACGAGACCGAATTCCATTTGTCTGACCGAGCGATCGTCGGATTATCAAGGCTTCCAAAACAGTTTCCTGACTTACCACCGAGAATTCCATCGATTGTGTAATCCTTCTTGCCGTCAGGATCCCCATCTCTACGGCCTCCACCGCGCAGAAGGCGGCTGATGGACGAGACGCTGGGCGGATCAGCAACTCCTTCCTGAAAAAGTTTCTGGTAGAGACTTTCAGCACTAATATCCAAGTTTATTGATTTATCAGTATAGAAGTTTTCATCTGTGTGTTTGTGTTCAAGAAAATTATGGTAATTTTCTATCTGTATGCGAGAAATATTTATTTATCAGTTAAAATGTTCAATTAGAACGCCCAACGGTACAAAAAGGTTTTGAACTCTTTATCTCATTTATGAACAAAAGTTCAGGTTCTCAGATGTATGAGGGTCCATAACCTCTCGAACATTTTCAGCTTCTAGAGTTCGTTTTGTTAATGTGCAACTTCCTGATTTCCTCATAATGCTGTCAGTTTTACGAAATAATTTTATAACATTGAGTGTGTATAAAAGTTAGTAGTACCAGAAGGTTAACCCTTCAGTAAATGATCAGAATACAGCTATTGGTTACTATTAAGGTCATGTTATTTGGTTTATCTGGCTCGATTTGATTGGACATCGATGTAAGGAAATTGTTTTTTAAAATACATGTTACGTCCGAAGACTCCATTATTAACATTTTATTCGACTTGGTTCCCGATGCACCGCATTTCGTCTTAGATCAATGAACCTTCTTCGCTTCTGTTATCAACCCTGCCGAAGTGACCTCTAACCCTGAGGCTAACGCACTCGTTATCACTGGCCTACTTCTAGATGCAACGCACATTCGTCTTAGAGCAACGAACTTTCTTTGTTTCGTACTCGTTATCAACCCTCGACCCTTGGTTGACCTGTAATTCTGATGCAAGCTCTTACATCAGCCCATGTGCAGCTTATCTTCGCCAAAGGAGGTCAAACCTCAGTATATAAGGGAGAAGAACGAGCAGAAGATTCATTCAAGTATTCGACACTCAAGTATTCAACATTCGAGTCGTGATCTGCAGTCAAAAGTCTCAAATCATACCGTAACGCCGTTCCCGTCTTATCATAAAATATTTTACTTTTATATTTTGTCCGGACTTAGAAAAGTCTAACGTTATTTTATTATATTCGAACTTAGAATAGTTTCAAGTCTTGTAATCATCATTTAATAAAATAGAATAAAAAATTGTTAATTTTTATTCGTAACGACCATCAGGATCGTTAAAGTGGCGCAGTCGGTAGGATTTGCAAAAATTTTTGCAAGTCGCGAAAAATTCGCAAACTCGAATTTAAGCGAGAAACGAACCTATTCGACGTAGTTCATCATCTGGAAGAAGCAGCGAGAAGATTCTTGAACACTATCCAGAAAGAAAGCGAAGAAAAGGCGAAATTGAAGAAAGAATTTTCGAAAATCCCGAAGAAAGAAGACTGGTATCTAGGGTTTTCATTTTCCGGATTCCAGGTTCAATGAAGAGCATCTATCTATTACTGTAAGTAGTATTTGTCTCTTATTTTTGGTTTTTTGCAACATATTTCGTATTTTTGCATTTATTCGATTTATTCAAAAATTCCTTGTTATTCTTCAATTTTTCTCAATTTAATGAAATAATTCTTGCCTTTCTTTATATTTTTCCTTTAAGTTAATTTAATTACAAAAAGAAAAATGGCAGATTTTACTCTAAAAGATTTAAAAGAATTAATACCAACTTATGACGGAGAACAAGCAACTTTGTACGACTTTATTGAAGCGGTAAATTTTGCATTTGAAAATGTACAAGACGAGCACAGAAACGCACTACTTTTCGTTGTAAAAAGTAAATTAACCAGTAGCGCGAGAAAATTTATTTCATCAAGGCAACTTAATAATTGGGAAGATATTAGACAACTATTAATAGGTCATTATGGTGACTGCAGAGATACCGAAGGGTTACTTCGTGATTTGACTTCTTGTTATCAAAACCCAAACGAACTTCCAAGAAATTTTGTGCAGCGTATTGAAGACCTTCTTACAAAAATTCGTAGCAGCGTCGCACTAAATAATGAATTAAATGATGCATCCCGAAACGCATTAAATGCATCACACGAAAAAATAGCTTTAAAAACATTTTTAGCCGGTCTATCCGAACCTCTTGGTAGTATTTTACGTTCACAAAAACCTAACTGTCTCGAACAAGCCGAACAATTTCTAATTGAAGAAGAAAATATCTCTTACTTAAAAACTTTTAGATCACTAAAACCATCACTACAAAAATCGTTAAATAATAAAATAGTACCGAAAGAAAATTATCACTCTTCTTCTGCAACAACTATAAAAGCTTGCTCGTACTGTAAGAAACCAGGACATATGATCGGATCTTGTTATAAACGTATACGAAATGAATTAAACCAACCAGAAACACGAAGTATGCAAAATAAAAATTTTAATGCAAATACTTTACAACAAAATAATTTCACTAACATAGAAAATTGTCGAGACTTGAATCAAAATAAAAAACGAGACTTTTATACAAATCAGCGAACAAATGAAAATAATCAGATTAATTATTTAAATCTTTCCAGTAATTCGATGTACAATAAATCTAAAGGTAAAAGTAAACCATCTAAAGTGCATCAAAGTCATAATGAAATTTTAAGTTGCAATATAATGAACAAAAATAGTTCAAAACTAATGTACATTGTAGATAACGATAACAAGACATATTTAGTCGATTCTGGAGCAGCATTATCAATAATGAGGTCAAGTTCTGTACCTAGTAACGTTTCAAGACTAAATGAAAATTTTAAAATTCAAGGAATTGCTCCAAAACCTATTCATATCACCAAAAGTTTTTATAAAAAATTCGATGAAACAAATACTGAGTTTAAAATGTACATCGCCGATTTCAAAATCGCATTTGACGCAATTTTAGGTTTAGATTTTCTCACCTCATACGATTGTGTCGTTGACTTTAAGAATAATGTTCTAAAAACTAATTTTAAGGATATTCCGTTATTAGTTTATTGTGAAACACAAACAAAGAAAAATGTTTTACATCACGAAAAACCTCGGAATTCGAGAAAAAGCTTTACTACCCAAAATGATAAAAATTCTGCGAATTATTTTAAGTCGCAAGTGCGCAAACCTCGTTTTAACCAATATTTGAGATCAAATGGAAATTATACAAGTAACAAACGTTTTTCAAATCCATCCCAAGTTGTGGCACATACTACTGGTTGTAATTATAGAAGTTCAAATCATAAAGATTTTAAACCACAAAAATATAATAACTATTTCCACAGAAGGAATAATTTTAAGAATTTAACAGGAAATCCTTATAATGATTTTAAATCCAAAAGCGCTTACATGAATAAAAATCGTAACTTTTATTATAACGCTAATAATAGCTTTAATTCTGTTTCACCTATAAATGTACATTACATTACACGAAAGCAGAGTAATAATGATCAAAATAAGTTTATAAATCTCAGTCGCTCTCAGACTAAAAACCAATCGTTTAATAAACTTACTTATTTGAGATCAACGGAAAGTAATAATTACAGAAATAAAAAGAATAATTTTAATTTTACGAAAGATTTTTACCCAAATTATGCAACTGAAATAGACAACAGGTCTTATGGAACAAATTTTAGATCTAAACAATCGTTTCTAAATAGAAACTTATTTTCAAGCAACAATGTAAGAAAAGATCAACAGATTTATAACAAAAGCTCTTATTTAAACAAAGATAGATTTTGTTCTAATTTTTATTCAACGTATAATAGACGTTTCAGTTTTCAAAAGGAAAATAAATTCCTAAGTGAAAGTACTAGCTTATATTAATTAAATATTAAAACAATAAAAAAAAAAAATAGAAAAAATAAATACACACAAAAGGTTTAAACAACGTTAATTATTATTTATCTATCATTATTTTTTTTGGTAAACATTTTTGTAATTAATAAAATTATAACTGTATTTAAATTTTAGTATTTACTTTCACGATTAATAATTTACAATTATACTTATTTGAAAAACTAAAATAATTATTAAAGTATTAAAATAAAAAGAAAGGCTTTGGGTATAGAAAGTATTGTTTGACGACAATATAATTAATCACATTGAAATGAAACTCGTTATTTCATAACTCTAAGAAGTGAAGCTAAGAGAACAAATTTACTTCCTTTTACTTTCGGGTAATTTACAATTAACAAAAAAAAAGTAAACAAATAACGTATACACAAAAGATCTTTTTTATAGCACTATAATAAATCATTAAAGTTACAGTTACCATTTCAAAATTTTAAATCATGAAAATTAAGAAAACTCTCGGAAGCTCTATTTAAATTCTAGTATTTACTTTTACTGTTATTGATTTACAATTATTTTTGAAAAATTGAAATATTTCTTAGAAGATTCAGAAAAAGAAAATGTTTGGGAAGGAAAATATGGAAAATATTACCTATGTATCATGTAAAGTTAAACTTGTCATTTTGTAAATCTACTTAACTAAAATAAGTTTAATTCCTTTTACTTTGAAGTAACTTACAATAAAAATTAAAAAAATCTTTATTTCCCAGAGTTAGTAAGTATAGAAAGGAAACAAAAACACAAAGGGATAATTTGTATAAAAAGAATATTGCTTGATGGAATTGCAATGCATCATTAATAAAATAATTTATTTTATTTCATTTCAAATTTATTGTATTTGAACTTGTAAGTAGTTTTAAATATTTTAAAGAATAATTTTCATAATATTGAGTTTGTAAAACAAGTGAAATAATTTTATTTACATTGAGAATTAGAAAAATCTTAAACTGAAACTACTAGTATAAAAAAATATATAATAAAAAACTGATTAAAATAAATCGTTATTAGTTATTTAATTATTTTTAAGTCAAGCATGTTTGCAACAGGACATTATCAATTATTTTTACAAGGTTTAAGAGAAATTTTATGTTTATGATAAAGCCTGAAACTTTGAACCGAATGGATAATTTGAAAGTAACTATCGATACTTTGGATGTTATACCTACAGTTTTATTAAGAATTATTCATAATAATTTTTGCTATTGCAAAAACCACCACTGGTTGTCTTTCATTACACCAACAAATGTTTAGAATGATGAACGATAATTGAAAATTAATTTAAACT